TTCTTCTGGTACCCCTGTAATGTGGATATTGTTCCTTTTGGATTGGTCACACAGTTCTCTTAATATTATTTCATTCTTGGAGATCCTTTTATCTCTCTCTGGATCAGCTCCTATGCATTCCTGTTCCCTGGTTTCTATTCCATCAATGGCCTCTTGCATCTCACCCATTCTGCTTTTAAATCTTTCCAGAGATTGTTGTATTTCTGTAATCTCCCTCCCTACTTTGCATTAGCTCTTGCATTTTTCTCTGCAGCTCCATCAGCATGGTTATGACCTTTATTTTGAATTCTTTTTCAGGGAGATTGGTTAGATCTCTCTCTCCAAGCTCCTTCTCAGGGGTTGTCTCTGTGATTTTGGTCTGGAACAAATTCTTCTGCCTTTCATGGTGATAGAGGTAGTTGTGGGGGGCTGGCGCATGGGTCAGCTGGGAGAACATCCCTTCTTGCTAGTTTGTGGCCTTCCTCTCCTGGGAGAACGGTGACCCCTAGCAGCTTGTGCTGAGCAGCTGTGTGCAGATGGGGTCTCTGATTCTTGCCTGGCCGCTGTGAAGGAAGTTCTGCATGCGGTTGCTGTGGGCATGGCCGGCCTCAGGCTGCTGCTCCGCTATGGCAGGGCCATGCAGAGGGGGAACGGGTGGCTGTTTATTGGCATGAGGGGCCTCAGAGCTCTGCTGCCGCCCAGGGGGTTAGGACGCCCAGAGTTCCCTGGAATTCCCAGCTGCGGGGTGAGTGTCCTGGGACGCTTCCATCCAGCTGTGGGGTCTTTGTCCCTTTAAGTCTTTCAAGAAGCACTCGCTTTTTTTTTGTCCCAGGGTTGCCGGCTGCGGGGACCTGCTTGCAGGTTTTACTCAACCGTTTCCCTAGTATCCAGCACACCACGCGCTGTCTGCACTCCCAGTGCAGATGGCTAGGGCTGGGTGTTTAGCAGTCCTGGGCTCCCTCTCCCTCCCTGCTCCGACTCCTCTCCTCCCACCGGGAGCAGGGGTGAGGGGCGCTCGGGTCCCGCCGGGCCACGGATTGTATCTTACCCCCTTTGTGAGGCGCTGGGTTCTTGCAGGTGTAGATGTAGTCTGGGTGTTGTCCTGTGTCTTCTGGTCTCTCTTTTAGGGATAGTTGTATTTGTTCTATTTTTAAAAATGTGTGGTTTTGGGAGATATCTGCTGCTCTACTCATGCCACAATCTTGGCTCCTCCCATCAGTTTGCTAATATTTTGTTGAGTATTTTTGCATCCATGTTCATCAGGAATATTGGTTTGTAATTTTTCTTATTTTTTTGTGGTGTCTTTGCCTGGTTTTGGTCTTAGAGTGATGTTGGCCTCGTAGAATGAGTTTGGAAGTATTCCCTCCTCTTCTACTTTTTGGAAAACTCTAAGGTGTATGGGTCCTCACTAAATGTTTGATAAAATTTAGGAGTGAAACTATCTTATCTAGGGGTTTTGTTCTTAAGTACTTTTCTGATTACCAATTCAATTTCATTGCTGGTAATTGCTCTATTCAGATTTTGTTTCATCCTGGGTCAGCCTTGGAAGGCTGTATTTTTCTAGAAAGTTGTCCATTTCTTCTAGCTTATCCAGTTAGCATGTAATTTTTCACAGTATTCTCACATAATTCTTTGTATTTCTGTGGTGTCCATAGTTATTTTTCCTTTCACATTTCTGATTGTTTATGTGTGTAGACTTTTCTTCTTCATAAGTCTGGCTAGGGGTTTATCTATTTTATTTTCTTGAAGAACCAGCTCCTGCTTTCATTGATCCTATTGTTTTATTCTTCTCAATTTTATTTCTTCTCTAATCTTTATTATGTCCCTCTTTCTACTGACTTTGGGCCTCACTTGTTCTTATTTTTGTAGTTTCATTAATTGTGAGTTTAGACTGTTCATATGGGATTGTTCTTCTTTCCTGATGTAGGCCCGTATTACAGTGTATTTCCCTCTTAGCATGGCCTTTGCTGCGTCCCACAGATTTTGCAGTGTTGAATTATTGTCGTCATTTGTCTCCATATATTGCTTGATCTTTTTTATTTGATCGTTGATCCATGTATTATTTAGGAGCATGTTATTAAGCATCCATGTGTTTGTGGGCTTTTTCATTTTCTTTGTGTAATTTATTTCTAGTTTCATACCTTTGTGATCTGGGAAGCTGGTTTGTGTAATTTCAATGTTTCTGAATTTACTGAGGCTCTTTTTGTGGCCTAGTATATCATCTATTCTTGAAAATGTTCCATGTGCACTTGAGAATGTGTATCCTGTTGCTTTGGATGGAGTGTTTGGTAGATGTCTGTTAGTTCCATCTGTTCTAATGTTGTTCAGTCCCTCTGTGTCCTTATTTTCTGTCTGGTTGATCTGTCCTTTGGAGTGAGTGGTGTGTTGAAGTGTCCTAAAATAAATGCACTGCATTCTATTTCTCCCTTTAATTCTGTTAGTATTTGTTTCACATGTGTAGGTGCTACTCTGTTGGGTGCACAGAAATTTATAAGTTATATCCTCTTTTGGGACTGACCCCTTATCATTATGTAATGTCCTTTGTCTTGTTACTTTCTTTGTTTTGAAGTCTATTTTGTCTGATACAAGTACTACAACTCTTGCTATTTTTTCCTCTTCTCTAATTTCTATCCCATATACTGTTTCTTCTGCCACATTTAATCTGCTTTTAAATCCCTCCATTGTATGTTTCATTTCAGATATGGAATTTCTGAATGATTGAATCTTCATTCTAAAGTGCATGAAGCATCTTTTCCATCCTTTTACTTTCAGTCTGTGTTTGTCTTTAGGTTTGAAGTGAGTGTCTTGTAGGCAGCATACAGACGGATATTGCTTTTTTATCCATTCAGTGACTCAGTGTCTTTCAATTGGTGCATTCAGACCATTTACATTTAGGGTAGTTATCAATAGGTATGTAGTTATTGCCATTGCAGGCTTTAGGTTCGTGGTTACCAAAGTTTCAAGGGTAATTCCCTTACTATCCAACAGTCTAATTTAACTCAGTATGCTTACAGACACAACCTAAAGGTTCTATATTTTTCCCCTTCTTTTTCTTCCTCCTCCATTCTTTATATATTATCATATTCTGTACTGTCTATCCCTTGATTGACTTTGGGTGTGGTTGATTTGATTTTGCATCTGCTTAGTAATTAATTGTTATACTTTCTTTACTGTGTTTTTATTTCCCCTGGTGACAGCTATTTAGCCTTAGGAACACTTCCATCTATAGCAGTCTCTCCAAAATACACTGCTGAGGTGGTTTGTGGGAGGTAAATTCTCTCAGCTTTTGATTAGAAAATTTTTTAATTCCTTCAAATTTAAATGATAATCTTGCCAGATAGAGTATTCTTGGTTCAAAGCCCTTCTGCTTCATTGCATTAAATATATCATGCCACTCCCTTCTGGCTTGTAAGGTTTCTGTTGAAAGCTCTGATAGCCTCATGGGTTTTCCTTTGTATGTGATCTTTTTTCTCTCTCTAGCTGCTTTTAGAAGTCTTTATCCTTGATTGTTGCCATTTTAATTATTATGTCTTGATGTTGTCTTCCTTGGGTCACTTGGGTTGGGAGATATGTGCACCTCCATGGCCTGAGAGAGAATCTCCTTCCCCAGCTTCAGTAAGTTTTCAGCAATTACTTCCTCAAAGACACTTTCTATCCCTTTTTTTCTCTCTTCTTCTGGTACCCCTATAATGCAAATATTGTTCTGTTTGGATTGGTCACATAATTCTCAATATTCTTTCATTCTTAGAGATCCTTTTTACTCTTTGTGCCTCAGCTTCTTTGTATTCCTCTTCTCTAATTTCTATTCCATTTACCATCTCTTCTACTATGTCTAATCTGCTTTTAAATCCCTCTTTTTCATGTTTCATTTCAGCAATGGAATTTCTTAATGATTGAATCTCCTAAATTCATTCATGAGTTCTTGAATATTTTTCTGTACCTCCATGAACATGTTTATGAGTTTTATTTTGAACTCTCTTTAAGGAAGAGTGGTGAGTTCAGTTTCACTTGGGCCTTTTTCTGGTGTTTGTGAGATTTTTGTTAGAACCAGGTATCTTTAATGTTTCATATTTGTATGTGGCGCCCTCTAGTGCCCAGAAGCTATTGTCTCTGGAGCTGCTCAGCCCTTGGAGTGATATGACGATGGGGGTTGCAGGGGAGCGGCACTGGTGCCTTTTCCTGAGGTCTGCTCTGTTCTCCAGGTGTATGTAGTCTGGCGCAGTGTTCTTTTCTGTTGCTCTTTTAGGATTAGTTGTATTAACTATATTTTCATACCATATGTGGTTTTGGGAGGGGTTCTGTCTTACCTCTCACACCGCCATCTTTCATCTCCACAACTGCTTTTCATAATAAGTTTTAGAAATTACTGCTTCAACAAGAAAATGGATGACAGAATGCTTTTCTTATAAAAACTTATCTGAACTAAATTGAGCCACTACTTTTATTTATTGTCTTTATTTTCCAAGTTTTTACACCCAAACTTGGCAAACATTATGGATATTTGTACAAACATGCATATACATATATACACACAGATTTAGTTTAAAGCCTCGGTTCCTCATTAAATCTTGTGTTCAGGCTCATGTTAAAAGATGTAAAATTGTGAAAAGATAAATATCAGGGAAAACATGAATAAATCCCAAATGACTACTTCCTTGTTATGAATTAAAGCAGACATTTTAATGGCAAAATTCATCACGTTGCTAAAACTCCCAGTAAGCTACAGCCTCAGATATTTACAAGAAAATAAACAAACAAAAACCCCATACATACTTCAATGTGGTTTAATGATAAGACAGCTGAGAAGTTGTGTTTTGTTATTTCAATAAGTTTCCATTCAGGAATGGTTGATATTTCAGTGATTAAAACTTCAGCTGTAAAAAACTAATTTCAAACAGGGTCATCATTACACTCTAAAACCAAATTCTTCAGATACTTGTCTTTAAATTACCATACAAATCCATCACAGCAACATTCAGGCTTTCAATTTTAAAAACATTTAAAGTGGTAACTAAGCACATTTAGTTCACTCTAGGTTGTTTGGTTTTATTTTTGTCCATTGGAGGAAAGGAGAAAACACTATTAGGTCCAAGGAATAATAAGACTTCTTTACTTACAGCTTCTGGTAGACAGTAATTTTCTACTGGAGGAGGGGATTCCTACAAAAGGACAAAAAGTGGTATTTTCCTTTTTTTTTTTTTTTTTAGATTTCAAACTATTAAATGACCAGGTGATAGATTCCTTAACTCTGCCTTTTGACCAGAAAAACATAAACATTTGTCTCTCAAGATATGCTATTTAGTGCTTGTCACATGTAGTGAATAATGGGCCCTATGTGACAAACTCTCACCTTGTATCAGAAAAATTAGTTTATAATTCAGGCAGCATGGGGTTAAATCACATCTTAATAATGGCTTCATCTGTAAAATGGATTAAAATACAGAATATGGACAACAGGGAAAAATAGTTAAAAGCTATCATTTAAGTCTAAGACTTACAATGCTTAATGTAAATCTTTGAAAATCTGTCTTACTTTTTACTTAATCCTATGGTAAACATGAGGTGCTTTTTATTCACCATCTTAGAGATAAAGGTTCAATAACACAATGTTATACATAACTAGCCGGAAGCAAAGCCAAAGTCTACACACTTTTCTGCTTGACTTTAAAACCCTTGCTTTTTTCTTACTCATAACCATATTCTAACCTAAAAGATTTTCTGGCAATATAACAGAGTAGATAACAACTATAACTCCCATAAAAGATTGGAGGAGAAAGAAAATCAGACATTTACTAGAGGGGTGTTATCATTCATCAGAAGGGAATGGTATAGGGTGAATTTCTTCTTTTCATTTTTTATGGTCCCGATCTGTGTCATGCGGGCTGGCTAAGACTCTAGTATTAATGGCTTGAAGAATCAGAGGACAGGAGGGCAATGATGACCAACAGAAAATGCAATGGGAATCCCAGGAAGGAGGCAACAGAGAGCCCCAAGCACTGTTATGAACTCTGACACTTCAGGATACAGTCTGCTTGACCCCTAATCATGCATGTTCAGGAGATTCAAGGTAGGGCTGAAAGAAATGAAGAGATTAGTGCTGCTGCTCCCTCTGGAGGGGCAGCCAAGAACCCACCTGCTCAGGGATATGGTACACCTCACCTCTGAGGAATGTGACGAAGGTCCCCAAAGGTTATTACATTGATTCCATTTATTTGAGGTGTAAGAAGTGATATAGAAATGGACAGATCAGTGGTGGCCAGGTAGAAGATACTTGGGGGAAGAGGGTGAGGCAAGGGTACAGTTCAGACAGGGCAAAATGAGGGATTCTTGTAGTGACAGAACTGTTCTGTATCTTGACTGTGGTGGTAGACCAACTTACACATGATAGAACTGCAGAGAACTAAATATACGTGCATATGAGTAGAAGTAAAACAGGAAACCTGTGTAAGCTTGGAGTGTCTCAACAAAAGTATCCTGATTGTAGTATTACACTATAGTTTTTGCAAAATGTTACCTATTGTGAGAAACCGGGGTAAGTGTTCAGGGATTCCTACAACTCATGTAAATCTACAATTACCTTAAAATAGAAAGTTTAGTTAAAAAAAAAATCTTGCTCATGACTCATATGTTGGAAACAGATGATTCCAAAGTAGTTATTATAACAATGCTCAATGATGTAAAGAAAAATATGCTTGAATTGAAAGAAAAGAGGGAGTCTCAGCAGAAAAATAGAAACTATAAAAAAAGAACCATATAGAGACTCTAGTTATAAAAAATGGTATCTAAATAAAATTTTACTGGATAGATATAAGAGAATGAAGATGACAGGAAAAAATTACGATGAAGTTGGATAAATAGGATGTAGCTAATCAGAAAACACAGAGAAAAATGATTGTAAGTAAGTGAACATAGCCTTAGGGACCTGTGGAGCATTATCAAAAGGTATAATGTAAGTTACCTGAATTTTCAGGAAAGAGTGGAGCAGAGGAAAATAGTAGAATGAGGAAATAATGGCCAAAATTTCTCAAACTTGGCAAAACAGGTAAGTTTACAGATTCATGAGCTCTGCAGACACAAGCAGAATCAATACACAGAAGCTACCTCTGCAAATATAAATGGCTGAAAACCAAAGATGAAAAGAAAATCCTGAGAGCAGTCAGGAAGGTAAAAGACACATTGCATACAGGGGAATAATTCAAATTACCATTGATTTCTCATCAGAAATAATGGAGGCCAGCAGAGAGAGAAGTCTTTCAAGTACTAGAAGAAAACAATCTATCACCCCAAATTCTGTATCCTGAAAAAGATCCTTCAAGAATAAAAGCAAAAGAGACATTTTCAAATAAAAGAAAATGAACTGGCCCCATCAGACTTGTACTAAAAACTAAAGAAAGTTCTTCAGGCTGAAGAAAAATGGTACCAGATAGAACCCTGGAAACAATACTCAAAATGGTGTATGTCAGGGTAAATATAAAATACTTTTTTTCCTTTTAACTTCCTCAAAATACATATAACTGTTCAAAGTAAAACACCGCATTCCAGGGCTAAAACAGATAAATGTAAAACATGACAACCCTAGCATAAAGCAGGGGCCAGCAAACCTTTTCTACAAAGGTCCAGACATTAGTTTAGGCTGTGTGGGATAGACAATGTCTGTTGCAACTACTCAACTCTGCCATGTAGTACAAAAGCAGCCACAGAAAATATGTAAATGGCCGAATGTGCCTGTATTCCATTAAAGCTTTATTTGTAAAAACAGAAAAAAACCCCCAAGAACACTTGGCTGGATTTGTTCTGCAGGCTATAGTTTACTGTACCTGATTTAAAGGCTAGGGGAGGTTGCAAGATTTCTACATTTTATGTGAAGTCGCAAAATGTTAACTCTAGATATTATGAAAATTGTAATCTGTAGAGTAAAATATGCCCTGTACTAGCCACCAAAAAAAGCAGAGGTTTTTGCTTTAAAAAGATAATGGATGACAAAGAATTCTAAATACTGAATTAATATCCCCGAAAAGGGCAAAAAAAGAACAAGGGAGACAAACCAAAAACAAATGGTAAAAAAACCTAACTCTAATTATAGTAATAATTACACGTGGACTAAATATTCCAAAGAATAAAAAAGCAAGGTATAACTACAGCATGTTTACAAGAAAGCCATTTTAAATATAAAGATGTAAGTTTTAAAAACCTAATGAATTTAAAAGAGATTAATAAAATCCCATTTATAATTGCATCAAAAAGAATAAACTAGGAATAAATTCAACCAAGGATTGAAAGGCCTGTACTCTGAAAACTGTTAACACATTGATTTAAAAAACAACTGAAGATGACACAATAAATTGAAAGATATTCCATGTTCACAGATTGGAAGAATTAACACTGTCAAAACATCCATATTACCCACAGCAATAAAAAGATTCAATGCAGTCCCTATTACCTTAATGGCATACACAAAAATGAACTCAAAATGAATTAAAGACTTGAACTTAAGACCTAAAACCACAAAACTCCTAGAAGAAAACATATGCTGAGTTCCTTAACATCAGTCTTGGTGATGATTTTTTGGATCTGACACACCAAAAGCAAAAGCAACAAAAGCAAAAATAAACAAGTGGGACTTCATCAAACAAAAAGGCTTCTGAAAGGTTTTCAGCAAAGAAAACCATCAACAAATGAAAAGGCAACATCAACAACATGAAAAAACAACCTGAGTGTCCATCAATGGATGAATGGATAAAGAAAACCACTGTGTGTGTGTGTGTGTGTGTGTGTACACAATGGAATATTATATGCAGCCATAAAAATAAAGACCGCCTGCCAATTGTGGAAACATGGATAGACGTTCAGGGAATGCTTAGTGAAATAACTCAGACAGAAAGACAAATAGTTTATAATCTCACTTTTAAGTGGAATCTAAAACAACACTCAACAGATACAGAGAAGAGATTTATGGTTGCTAGAGGTATGGGGTGAGTGTTGGGTGGAATGGGTGGTTACAAGGTACAGATATCCTGTTATAAAATAAATTTTAATTGATGGGGATATAACAAATAGTATAATGACTACAGCTAATAATACTGTGTGGTATACTTGAAAGTTGCTAAAAGAGTCAATCTTTTAAGTTTCTCATCTTAAGGAAAAGAATTTGTAACTGGTGATGGATGTTAACTAGATTTATTGTGGTGATCATTTTGCAATATATTGCAATATATACATAATATATTGAATCATATTAGATACTTGCAACTACATAATGTTATTTATCAATTTAAAAAAAGGGCATCAATCCCCTTATTCAGATTGGAAGACTTCTGTCTGGATTAAACTAAAACAATTCAAGAAGCACATGAAGGTATGAACCTAGGAGAGGGTCCCCAATAACTGGTTCACCGAGATTATTTCACTCAGCTCAAGACCCAATTATGTGGCTCAATACTTCCAATCAGCTTATTATTCCCTACTCTTAATCATGACAGAAAACTGGGAATTACCAGATAAATTCATCTAACATGGAAGATAAAGACTCAAACAAGAAAAACCCTGGTGAAGCAGAAACTTAGAGATAAAAAAAACTTTAAAAGACACCAATAAAACCTCTGAAAGCTAATGCATTACATCTATAAAACAAAAAGATGATGTTACTAAAACAATAAAATGTAAATTCAAAAAACTAAAAAAAAAGGCCTTGATTTTTAAAACCATAATAGGAAAATGAAGAAATTGATAGGAGTGGAAGATTGACCTGAGGGATTCTCTCAAAAAGTGAAGACTGACTAGTAAACATAATGTTCCTCATGTAATTGTAGATTAATGATATATAAAAAAAAAGTGAAGACTGAAATAGGTGAGAAATAATAAAGAATCCAATATGTAAATAGAAGTACCAGAGAGGACAGCAAATGGAGAAAAACAAATTTTTAAAAATAATTCAAGATTTCCCAGAACTGAAAGATGAGTCAACAGACCAGAAGGGGCCTACCAAGTGCCCAGTAATATAAACAGAAAAATAAAAACATAATGGCATATTACTTTGCAATTTCAGAAAACTGGGATAAAAAGAACATCCTACTAGTTTAGTTACATATAAAGGATCATGAATGAGAATGGCTTTGGACTACTCAATAGCAATACTAGATGCAAGGAGATAAGCAATCAAAAGTCTCAGAAAAAATAGTTTCCAACGTAGAATTTGATGCCCAGCCAAACTATCAGTAAGTAAAGTGTGCATATAGGAAAAAGAATTTCACATATAGAAAGTCCCAAACAATTTATCTCTCATGTGCTTTCTCAGAAAGTTACTAGAAGATGACCTCCATCAAAATGAGAGAGATCAGGATGACATGGGACTCAGAAACAGGAGCTACAATGGAGAAGAAAGATAAAGGATGATGACTGGAGATCCTGGGATGATAGCAGCGTAGGGATGATAGAAGCAGAGGGTGACCATCCAGACTAGAGCAATGGGACTAAGGACATATTGAAGGTTGTCATCACTAAGATCTCTGCACCCACTGTACCTGGTTTTTAAACTGAGGTCAGAACACTGGAGTGAGCCTGTATCGGTCTTATCTGAGCTTGGCTTATCTTAACTGCAAACTTGCTGCTCTCCTCTCCTTAGCCTGCTGCTTCATCCCACAGAAGAGTTCTGTTTTGACCTATTCCTGAGAGTTAAGAGATAGGTCAATGATAAGCTTAGACATAGAAATACAGAGCAGTTTTCTTCCAACATATTCCTCCAGACAGCTATCACCTGGCACACATTACGAGCCTGAGAAAGGCAGAGACACAAATAACCAAAGCAGATGCTGATTTCTTCTGATGGGAAAGGAGGGAGATGGAATTGGGAGGAAGAACTGGGAGCTCCTATGAGTCTAACTAATCTTCTATTTCTTAACATGGGCACCTAGATGACATTTTGCTATTTTTTAACCAGTACATATACTTTATATACTCAGTGCAGCACAGTATAGGCTATTAATATTGTTTCTTGTTTTAGATGGCAGTTGTATACCTGAAATGATCAAGAACTTTTGGAGGGAAGAGATATGAGATTTGAGTTCTCTACATTCTCCCAAAGTCTGCCTCTTTTCCCACTGGGTAAAATTTTAAAATCTCATGTCTCAAAAAAATCAAGCTTTAAAAAAAGTTATTTAGGTGTTCAAGGAGAGTTAGTACTGGCTTACCCTAATCAGTATGCCCTACTGCTTTGTGACAAAGGCTTCATATTTATGTTTTAGGCATTTTCCTTTTAAACCCTGAGCAACTCTCAAACACATAAGTAGCAAAAACCACATGGCAGGCTGGGTTTTGGCTTCCCCTTACTTCTTCTAAACCATCTGTTTGAAATCCTTTGTAGTAAGACATTTATGATCATGTGTTATATCTTGCTGATTCCTAATAACATTTTAGCACTCTGTTGTAAGATTTTTCTTTGCCCACTCAATAGGTCAATTCTGAATAGGGCTGTAGTGAAACCTCCATATGCTTGATTTATCTTATTGTGTAATACAGGTATTTGCTGTGTATCAATGCAAAAGGTCAAAAAATTAAAGAAGAAGCCTTGGATAAATTTTCTCCTTGGACTCCTGGAAACAACTGCTGTTTTCTTTATATTCCAACATTTTTATGGGCACTTTTAAGGCTTTTCGAGGTAATATGACCCATGTAACATTTAACTACAAGCTGAATGGTTTACCTGTGTGTTATAAAAGAGAGTGAAATTGAAAGGGGTTGAATTGAGGAGGATAACAGGAGACTACCATTCTATTAACAACAAGCTGTGGATTTTACTGTGCAGTTACTTTTCTATGCATATAAGCATATCTCTGGCAATGAGAAGGTCAAGGACAGAATCTTACAAACCTGCATAAGATAATCAGCAATGTATTCTGTTTTCAAGCAGTACACATTCTGGGCAGCAGCTTCTGCTATATTAAGTCCTGAGTCATCTGGTTTTAGTTTATTAAAGTCAGAAAAGAGATGTGTGGCTTCTTTAAATAAAGGTACAGAATGACCAGGTAGCACCTAATGAAAAAATAAGAAGCATTACAATCTGTCAGTGTCCCAAAGTAGTTCAACTGTACAATCTGTACTTAAGGACTACAATCTCAAAAGTAAAGGAAATCAAGTACTGAACACAGCAACCTTAGTTAGAAAATAATTCACATAAAAAATTCAGTAAGTTGATTTAATACAAACTTTTGCTCCTCCAGACTGAAGAAGGCGTTTGAATCCTGCTTCTCGGGACTGATCAACATGTAAGATAACTTTCCACCCACTAAATGCTCCCTGCAGAACAAAACAGAAAAACAGTTTTGAAATTATTTGGAAAATAAATGAGAAAATAACACAGATAATATTTTATATGAAGACTTAGTTTTATGACAACAAATAATCTTATAACCTTTATTTTCACCACAGTGGTAATTGTCTCTGATCAGAATTCTTTGAAACACAGAGCCATGGTGTCTGGCACACAGTAGGCCTTCAACAAATACTTGAAGAATGAAGGGAAACGATTCAATGATTAGGTGACATTAAAACAAAGGAACCTGACTTTTGTTTTTAGTCTTTTCTAGTATTTTTTTCTTAAATTAATCTAGGGTAAAGCTTAAAGCACAGCTTCTTAGATTAGATGAAACCTCCATTATATTTCTCTTGAAAATGTTTGCAAATTAGAAACATAATATTTAAGCAGGGAAAACAATTAACAAAAAACCAGTGGAATTACTCTAAAAGGGAATCAAGGTTTCTAAGGACTTGGAGATAGTAGAGAACTCAGAATACAACACAAAAAAATTACTTAACTCAAGGGTTCTTAAACTTTTTGTGTACCATGGACTCCTTCTGCAGCCTGGTAAAACCTATGGATCTGTTTTCTAAATAATTTTTTAAAAATAACAAGCTTTTTGAGATGTAATTTCCATACCACATGGACATTTTCTTAGTGTTCAAAATAAAGTATAAAGGATTACAAAAGAAACCATCTTATTAAAAATTTAAAATATTTTGTGACATAATAGATGTGTTTCTATATTAATGCATTCAATTAAAAGATCTAGTGGTAGTTGAAAACTATATAATTTTAAAGTAGTGATGAGTATAAATAGTATTTCAAGGTACTAGCAATTATAATGCAAAGTAAAAATACCTGATGTCTGGTGGGGCAAAGTGACAGGTACTGTTAAGAGTGCTGTGATTTGTTGCCTAGATTTCTATAATGAAAGGAAATGCTGACTTTCTATTACACATTGGTAAAAATAAAGATGCATTTTTCCTCCATCCAAGGGTATGGCATTCCCTTTTAATTTATAAACTCCTCTGGGAGAGCCTGTGGACCCCAAGTAAGAACTCCTGAAGTTAGACGGTGAAAATATTCTTTGGAAGAAATACAGTGTGGGTCACATTTTACACATATAAATTGTTTTGAAAGAGCCATCACCATTATATATATCTTACTGTTGATCACAATTAGAAGAATGAGGAATTGCCACTAAGCTCAATTTAGAATGCCCAAACTAAGTAGATCGGTCAAGGGATAAAAGACAAACAGAATTATTATTTTGTTAAGTACATTCTCTTAAAAAAAAATTAAAATCTAAAATAATCATGACATTGACTCCATTTATACTTCCTACATAATTATATATGTTAATACCTCAACAATGCCTGATTCTTGTCTTTGCTGAATTTTTTTTCTCCATCTCATTGCTGCAAGTGCTAGTCTTCGTTGCTGTACACTGATTCCAGTCAAAACATCAAGTATGGAACTAGTTCCCCATTCATAGTCTTCTTCCTAGAGAATTTGAACAATAAACTTCTGAGTTCTTACAAAATGTCCTCAAGGAGTCCACAATTTAGTAAGACTTAAAAGCTATACATTCAATTGTTATAAATACAGAGAATCACCAGTTTATGAGCACAGAGGAACCACAGATTGATTTAGCATCAGATGAGAATCAAGAATACCTGGCTTTTAATTAGGTATCAGAAATATACTGAATAAATTTCTAAGAAACAGATAACCCTATATTCAGATTACAGAAAATAAAACTGTTGTATCTAAGAATCTGGGTCTGTGGTTTCTAAATATTTTTGCTTTAACTGTTAATGTGGACCTTATAAAATTGGTATAATCTGTCATATGTGGTTACTTCAATTACATGGTCAGTATCTGTGCCAGAATCAATTATTAAAACATTTACACTTTGAGAAAAATGACTCTTTACATTACTTGGAATACACACCGGCACAAAGCGCCCAGTAATCCTGCATGCCTCAAGGTAGGAGCGATGAAGCACCCACTTCCCAGCTGCTACTGAGGCTAAATACTTCTCGTTTCGAAGTGGATGTCCCACGACAATGTGTGTACAGTTGGGATCAAAGCACTGCTTCTCTATCACTAATCCACCTTAAGCAAAATAAAAATTTTATACTTTATTGATTCTTCACTTTTTCCTCAGAAAAAGTACCTCAACTATCACATAAAAATCATTATTAAACAAAAGGCATTAATAAACCAAAAAACCTCAAAGACAGTTATTTTACCTTACATATATATTTTTATAAAATAATGCTTCCTAGGAAAATTTAAAATACAAAGGTAGATTTTAAAAAAAATGAACCCCCCAACACTGGCAACCTAGGTACTAAAATAACCAGTTTTGCCATCCTTCCTTCAATCTATGCCGTTTTTTTACTTAACAATTTTAAAGCAAATTCTAGACATCATGTTATTCTACCCCTATATATTCAGCATGCATCTCTAATATACATGGACATTTTCTTATACAGCCACAATGCCATTACCAGATCTAATATACTTAACAAAAAGTCTTTGCTATCTCAATACTAAATTCTTGTTCAAATTTTCCTGCTACAATCAAGATATAAAAATAAATAAATACAAACAAAGGCCATATATTACAATTGGTTATTTTATCTCTTCAATGTCTCTCAACTACTTAAGCAATTTTCAAGCACTGAATATGGGTAACCAGAGAAAGAAGTCAAAAGGGGGGAATCTATAAGCTAAAAGATGAAGAAAATTTTCTGATAGGAAATAGGGTCAGCAGATCAACATAGAAGTTTGGGAGGAAAACACACACTAGGTAAATCAAGATGTAACAGTAGGTGGGAGCCGAATCCTCTTCTCAGGTACATACATATGGAGCCTGACTTAAAGGAAAGAAGGTGGCAGAAGTAAATATAAGCTTATGTAAAGCATGGTTTTGGTTTATATTTTAGAGGTTAACTTGATTAATGGTTAGGAAGAGTTCTACTAAGGACTTTCTAAGAATTGAACAAAATACTCAAACTCTACTTATGCTTTCTAGGTGACTAACGATAATAGCAGCAACACTGGGCACTGAATACATGCCAGGGATTGTCACAAATGTTCCAGGTCATTAACTCATTTAATCCTCACAACTCTATGAAGGTAGGTTACTATGATTATCTACAATTTACACATGAGGACAAGGAATAGAGTATATCACTCAGGATCACAGAGTGACAAAAGAAAAAAGGTAAAAGTTCCAAACTGCTGTGTATATCTAACTCCATATAATAAATGTATCCTGTGACTGAGGCAATGTGACAGACTGATTTATTTATGTTTATCAGCTGGCCAGAGTTGCTTCACTTATAAAATGAAGAGAATCTCCATTTTCATGTCAAAAACCCTCTAGTCACAGACACCCCACATTCCAGCACAATCTGTACTCATCTGCCTCTGCTCTCTATCCTCATTTAGACAGTTCTCTGCTACTTATTATTCTTGTTCAGAGTTTACAGAGATGGAACAAACTATAGGATACAAATACCTGAAGCATTCCATTTTGGTGAGCTCTAGGTAAAACTTAGCAATTCTGACTTATAATTCCATCTAATTTATCAAGTGAATTGTATATATAATTGTACTATATAACACTTAATCTTTTCTGGATGACTCAGGGACATTATTTCTTAATGTTTTCTTTATGTCAAGCTGTCAGATTAAGCTCTCTTAAAATTTTTTTAACTCTATAGAGATGCTATTATATAGTCACTAGCCACATGTGGCTATTAAAAACCTGAAGCAGAGCCACTCTAAATTGAGATTTGCTATTAGCTTAAAATATATCCCATTCACTTAGTAAGAAAAAAGAGGTCAAATATCTCACTGATATTTTATATTGACTACATACATTAAATATTTAAAATTAACTCCACTTTTTTTTGTTTTACTATTTAAAATGAAGCCATTATGACAGTTTAGAATTACATACATGGCGCATGTTCTAATGTTCTATTTCTACTGGACAGTGCTGCTACAGAGCACCAAGTTACCTTTTTAGTATGCTGTTTCCAGAATGACATCAGATGGACGGCCTAACAACTAGTGGAATAAGAATGTTACATGAGATGGAGCTCCTCTCCGGGAATTACTGTATCTTCAATTTCATGAAAATGTAGTTTTATTTATATTCTAAGTCCATAATTTCACTGATTTTGTCCAAGGTTTCATCATAAACACATGCTCAAAGTAGCAAAAAGATCCTTAAACCTTAACAGTTGGTTTCAATTTAAATCTTTAAATATTTAAATCCTATGACCCAGTGACTTTAGATTTAGATTAGAGCTTTACAGAAATCAAAATTCTAATGCTGTCTCAATGTATATAGCCTTAGACAAGTTATCCATCATTTTTATCTCAGTTTCTACATCTTACAAATGGTATCAATATTAACTACATGTGACTTCCAAATAAGGTTACTATATGGGATATTTTTGACTTAAGTAAAATACACGTACCTAGTTTTTCAATTAGATGACAATAATCAATACGTTCCTGAGGATTAAGAGATGACAACTGAAATGTGTACTGTTTTTTTAAGTCTTCATGAGTCTCTTCTATTGTCATAATCTGAAATGGCAGAGTTTCATTTTAGAAAAAATGAAAATGAAAGTTATCAGGCATATGGTGCTTTTAAAGGTGATATTTTACTTAGTCTTCTGGTTATCAAGTATCAAAATACTATAATGCAAAGAAATGTAGTTTTCAACATTTGATGAACCCTTGATATTGTTATCAACAAATTCTGAATACAGCATAAGAGTAATAACTAAAAGCCATATCATCATTCTATGAATAAATGAACCTTTTCTCTAGGGTGTGGAGCCACAGGTGGGTTGGCTAGTGGGAAGGCAATACTGGGGGCCTGAGGTGTAGGGATAAGATGGCTGTCTTTTATAGGAGTTTCCAGTTCTTCAGAGATCACATGTTTTGGAGCTTCAGCCACACATATGTTTCCAGGATCACAGATAGCTGAGGGAAATAAAACACTATAATGTGATTTTATTCAAATACAACTAAGAATACATTCTGGGAAATAATCTCATCAGTCTTAACCAAGATGAAATAAAATACAATCTGGAATGTAAAAAGTACATATAAAGTAAGTAGCCTATTTCTTTTTATATCTTATAAATAAATAAGTTAGCTTTTCAAAAAGGGCAAATGGTATTACCTGTGGGTTTCTCCCAACCCTTTCTTTAAATACTAAGTTTTCATCAGTAAAATGTAACTGGAATTTGTACAATGAAAGCAATTTTACACTTGGAGAAAATTAGCAGCAAAGAGAAGTCTACACATTTAGTGTAGAGAAATAATCAAGTGCCCTGAAAGAGAAAGGCGGGTAAAAAGATGACCAACAATGAGGGATATAAAGCATTTTATCAAAGTAAAGCCCCCAAAGAAGAAAAAAATATGGGAATTCAGAAAGCAACACATACAAATCCAAAGAACAAATGTAGGATTTGAATATAGGATGAAATTCAGAAGATTTAAATGAAAATAAGATGATTGGGAGAAAAACCAGGCATTAACTACACAAGTGCATAAAGGACTAGAATGAATGAACAATGGTGAAAACCATGTCTGGCAAAAAATGCCTAATCCTTAATCTCCAAATTTAAGAATCAAAATAGTTTTCAATTTAATGATAAATTACCTAAATTTATTATTACTTTTCTGACTCTTTTTAAACTCAGATCAGAAATATCTAGTAAGTTTTTCATTGCATGCATAATTCAAAGAAATACAATGTGTTTATCTGTTTATTTTTAAGAGGTCAACATGCACTTAATACAAACAGCTAAATAGATTTTTTTCTCATTACCCTGTTCAGCAATTTCTGAATCGTGTAATGGCTCCTGGAAAGGAGAATACTCCAATTTTTTAATGTCAACTTGAAGCTCAGAATATTGGGTGGGACAACTAGGCCACTGCAAATTGCTGGCAAGCCTTGCTCTCTCCTCCCTGGCTGTAGGGTCATCCCAAATGATTTGTTCATTTTGGGAGGGCTCTGTGTTGATATCAGGTACTATTTGACGAGATTGCCTAAGGAATAAAAGTGACAATTTTGATAAATAGCCATAACAAAATCCACACTCATAAATTTCATAAAATTATAAATTTGTAGTTCACCTTTATATGCCCACAAAAGCACACAGTAAGCATTTGAGAACATTTATTGACTAAATGAACTTTGGGATCTTTTTTAAATGTTTCTGGTAGAAACTTATCTGTTCTAGCTAGAAAATGAAACACATATTTTGACTGAATGTCCACATACTTAAAACTTCAAAGGGCAAGATTTACTGTCAAGAAATTGTTTAAAAATCCTAAAATGATTACTGCATTTAAAAATGGGATTTCTCTTAATTATACAGGCTTAGTGAAACATGGCAATGTTTAGAAAACTGGTTACTTTGCTTACCAGTAGTTGTTTTTCTATCACTTGAAATAATAAGAGCTATTAATTCCATGGGAAGTGTACTGTAAAGGCTGCCTTAAAAGCAGGTCCTTCTGGCATTGGTAACCAAACCTCCCAGAGTTTCGAGTAGACAAGCCTTATACTAAACTAAAGTCTTATACTGCACTAGAATGAAGTGTGTTTTATGGTGTAATTGTAACAATTCCATTTGAGAGTAAACAGAATTTCAGCTATTTTCCTTCAATGTACATATTGGCTCTTTCAATGTGTGTGTGTGTGTGTGTGTGTGTATATGGAATCTTAGTAAAAATAATTTACCAAAGCTGATGGTACCTTCAAGGAGTTCATTTGCCTCAAATACAAGGAAGATAGCCTTTTATTCTCAGAGTATATTTGTTCACTCTGACATAATACAAGATTTAAGCTCTCTATAATAATAAAACATGACCTTAATTACATTAAACAAAAAGCCACATTTACCCAAATACACAATACTCAGATAAAGAATTTGCAACATGAAATATATAGTTAATAAGATAAATTCATAGTTCAACTGTCAATTCCAGATACAAGTCCTACAATATCATTATACAATTCAAGATTTTTCTATCAAAGATGTTATGCTACTAAACATGTCACATTACACTAAGACCTGTAATCACCTTTCTTAGAAAATCAGTTTATAAAATACATATAGTCACATATGTTTAAATGTTTAAACTTACACAGTATGTTCATGTTTAATACTAATATTATTTAATACTAATACAACAGAACAGAGAGGACAGCCCACTGAGTCTATTTCAAATGAGGCAAACTGGATCTTAAACTCATTCCTTTCTCAGCAGAGGTAATAAAAAATATTAATCCTGCACCCTATGAAGCAGTTAAACCTCGGTTCCTGCTTCCTGTCCCCAAGAATTCTACAATGTCTTGGAATGAGGGAGGGGGAAGGAAAAGCTGGGAGGGAAGGGAGGAAGAAAAAGCTAGTTAGCAAAGGGCCACAACCAACAGGTCATATCTGAATATAACATACACAGTTTGGGCTAAATAAGGCCCAGCAGTATAACCCTTTTACTGGTTTTGCTTTTTTAAACTTCTGCTTTACTGACGAGATTGCCTAAGGAATAAAAGTGACAATTTTGATAAATAGCCGTAACAAAATCCACACTCATAAATTTCATAAAATTATAAATTTGTAGTTCATAAAGTTCATAAAGTGACTTTAAAAAGAGGTTTAACTCATGGGACTGAATCAGCAGGAACCTAAATAAAGAGCTACTTTCTCCCAAGCCATCTAGTCACTCCGTTCTGCCCACAGCAATGGGTGTGTACCTCAGGGCCTCTAGGACTCTACTCCGTCCACTGCGGGCTGAGCGAGTGCTGTCAGGGGTTGAAGAAGCACTGTTACAACCACTTCTTGAAAGAGAAGTCCTTTGCCCCTGGGGTTTCACTATAGATGTCGCGGACATTATCTCCTGCAGCTGCTTTTGGAAGTTCTCTCTCATTTCCAGTGTCTGTGTCAGAGCTTCAAACAAACACAAACACACACCAATCAAGATTTTTTTTTTTAAACCACATCTCATTCATATTAACTGTTTTGTCTAGATTTGGTTGAACCCAAATTTATTAAGCTGACATTTACTGATACTTATTACAGGCTATAGGAATGTACTAAGACTATGATTAGTTACTGCAGAACATAAAGGCAACTGTTACAATGAGGACTGGATATGAAATAATCAGGGAGTCCTTAGAAGGTACTCTGCTAAGACCTGCTGTTATTATCCCTTTTGTAGAGCCCCTGGCTCCTTCTGACCCTTCTCCTGGTATGTACTATACTCTGAGATGAATGTTATTCCCCGCTATGGTCCTTGACAACACAGACCACAATATATTTATTTCTCTTTGGCTTCCTGCAGACTAAATAGATGACTTGTTTTTCGAATGAACAGAGTAGGACTAACTAAATAGGTAAGTCATAGGGAAAGCTCTGGTAGGGTACGATAAGTAAGAAAAACAAAAAATATTAATCAAAAAAAGGAGTTCTGTAGATGTATGGTTATTCACTACAGCAGTTTTTATAACAGCCAGAAATCAGAAATAACCTAGATGATCATCAACAAGGGACTGGCTAAATAAAGTGGGTCAACCAACAATGAACAGTATACAGTTGCTAAAAAAAGAAAAAGAGCAAGGAAGCTCCAGTATGAAACACTCAGAAGTTGAACCGTTACACAAAAAGATAAGACAAAGTACAGACAGCATAAAGAATAGTCTACCACTTATGTATTTTTTAAAAAATGAGGAAAGGCAAACACATATTTATGATCATATATGCAATGAACAGCTCTAGAAGGATACATAAGAAGCTAACAACTTTGGAAAGGTGGGAGAAACTCTTCATACCTCCCTCTATACCCTTAAAACACTGTGAATGCTAAAATATATTGTACATATAATAAAACTTTTTGAAAATAACTGAACAAAATAGTATATTAAAAAAAAACCCATCAACTCCACCTATCTTTAATAGAATAGGGCTGTATTACACTAATTCTGCAAAACATAGGTCCACAAATTTCACTTAACTCACATAAAGCTTTGCAAATTATGTCTTAACAACTGGCACAGAACTTCAATTCAATCCTTAAATATAGGCTTTACTTGTATTAAGCAATACAGAAAATGTATTTTTCTATCAGATGCAGGACACATTCTATATGAAAGATGCGTATCTACAAAAATTTTTTAAATAATTTAAAATATTTTACCTCCTTTAAAGTTACTCCTTCCATTTCCATTTGATGTTGCTGTTTCTTTATTACTGGAGGTCATATTGCCTATGTCATTTTCTTCTACAGGCAAATGATCTGGCTATTGAAGGAGAAAAATTACAATTTCTCAAAGCAAATCACTGTATAAGCAATATATAATGATACAGTTGGCATAAGGATGGGAAGTTTAACTGTCCATTATCTACCTCTTCACCCTTCGTTGCTGAGTCGGCTGAGAGTAGACGATTGTGACAGAGTTTGCCATCTTGTACTGCACTGATATCCAAGCTCATTTTGGGATTGTAAGTATGCGGATAAAGAGATTCAGGAAGATGTTTATGCTCTTGGGCACACTGCAATACAATGATGTGTTTTAAAACAGGATTGAAAAAAATCTTAGTGAATAAATGATGTTAAGCAGGATAAGAACAACCTATACATTATGTCTTAAGATGACAGAAGTTGGCAAAATTAAAGTTGCGAAAAGTAGCTGACATGGAAAAATACATTATACAAATGGCAATTAAAAATTGTCCTCAATTTTTATGGTCATGTTCACTAAAGTATAAAATCGCATTCTATTTCTATGCTTTTCAAAGTATCAACCACACTCCAGAGAATATCCAGAAAGAAAAGGAAAGAGAATAAATGAGAAGAGTGAAAGAAAAGGAAAGGGAAAGGAAAAGACACAGTTCTGAACTGTACTGGTATGCTAAATTAATTCTTCAATTATTATAAAATTTTCTTTCATATCATTTTTTTTTTAGTGAAAAGAATGAGAGTATCAGAAAGAATACCCACTAAGGACTTATTAAGTATTTAAGGACTAAAGACTGTAAGTTTTGATGACAAAGAAATGAAATGTGCACAGTGAACTTAAGTTACCAGAATTGTTTATATACCTGGAAACTGGTTTGTACCTTGAAATGATGTTTATATATATTTTCATTTAACAGAGTGGGGAGGGAAAAAAGTATTGCTTACTTCTAAAAGCCAGTGCTCTGAAACAACATGTACTCCTTTTCCTTTTACAGATTTATATTCTCGGTTAGTGTCATTTGGTCGGCCTTGATAGATAAAATGAGTCACTGTTTCATCAAAACTCCATCTGGAACAATTAAATAAAAAAAACAACCCAATTACTAAGAGAAATATCTAAGATGGTCATTACTCTCTTAGAGTAGAATATTCTGACCTTCACAAAACTTTCAAGACCTACAGTAAGCAAGAACATTAAGTGACAGGCTCCATTCTTTGGGGGTCAAGTTTTGTATGTATATCTCTAGGTATATAAATGCAGAGAGATATCTGGAAGGATATTCTTTAAAATTTTACCGTTTTCTTTATACTTTTCTGATTATTTTAACTTTATTTTATAATAAATATCACTTTATAGTAACAAGGTATTTTCAAATTAATAAAATGGCAAAGCATCCAATCTGTCCTCCAGCTGTTGGCCATCATCATTTATTGTACATTTGTTCTATGACCCATAGAGACTATGTATTTTACACAACCATACTTCATCCATTCTTCAGAATAATCCTAAAATATTGGTATTATTTTATTCACTTTATAGATAAAGAAAACTGAGGGCTATAGTTTAGCAGAATGTTCAAGTAAAAATCGCGGGAGGTAAAAATTTTATTTCTAAATATAACCACCAAAATTTCTTTTACACTTAACATACTTTCCATTTCCTAAATAAGAAACATCTATGAACTTTTTAAATAGCCAAGTTAGACAAATTAAGAAGGGATATTTCCTCCTACATTATATTATAAACATTTCTATTTGTTACTACCCATGTATCCTTATAAATAGTAGTAAAAAATCCTTGCTTTATCTATCTGTGTTTCTAGTAACTCTATTTCTGCTGTGAGGTAAAACAATACAAATGTAAATAAATTATCAAGATAATTTAGAAAAACAGTATTTCTGCCTGAGTCATCTTGGTTTACTACTCAACTCCACTGTGATAAAATATAGGCTGCAATAGTATAGACGGTTTAGATTAGGGGTTGGCAAATTTTTTTCTTAAAAGGACAGATGATAAATATTTTAGTGTTTGAAGGCCAAAAAATCTCTTACAACTACTCAACCCTTGCTTTTTTTATATGAAAGCAGCCATAGATGATATGTATACAAAGAGGCATGGCTGTGTTCCAATAAAACTTCACAAAAACAGATGGCTGACCTGCCCTAACCTTAGTCTAAATCAGTGCTTTTGGCAAAATTGTTACTTTACTTTAGGAGCTGTTTTGGAAATTTGTGGGGAGATCTGGGTTGTTACAACAATGTGTGTTTGTATACTGGGGTGCAACTAGTACTGAGTAAGGTCTAGGGATGCTAAAACTCTGGGGAACAGATATACATACAATTATCCCATATCTTACATGACTTTCTAATGTTATGACAGAAATTCACGTAAAAAAAAGTTGCTTTGAATGAGATATCTGAGCCTAGAACCTCTTTTTCACAAACACAAGATACTTTTTACAGCTTTGATATACACTAATATACCAGACATGCAACCACTCAGTCACTAATCTAAGACTGTACCTGGCTTAATTTGGAACTTTGCCAAATTGTAAACTCTTGGTAAAGTCATCTTGCCAACCGAAATGCTGCTCATGGTATCTCAGTCTCTGTGTTTCAGCCTTATGGCTACATTTGTAGCATTTGAAGTAATTTTACGTATATATGCAAACATATGAATACCTCCATTCTTCTAGTGTCATCAGGCATATGCATTCACATATGAGACATATATTCTATTACTATGTGCCTTCTATTGACTATTTTTAAATTATAGAAGTAGATAAGTTATATTTATGAAATCCAAGGTAATGTTACATAAATATATGTGACTAAAAGAGGATGATGCATCTGGTGTGTTGAGAAGACCTGGCCTAGATGTTTTAACTACCAGAAGGCAGGAGACAGTTATCAGATGACCCTTCAGGACATTCTGGTCCTAGCTGATAGAAGGGAACACCTGGGACATCTTCACTTGAGAACTCATTACCCTATGAACACATAAATATTGTAATCTCTACATATTAAAGGATAATTCCCTCTCACCCATCACCAAGTCTGAAAAATCCATCTTAGGAATAGATTTAATGCAAACTTTAATGCGATCGACCAGTTAAATCCTACTTAGGAATTTCAGCAATATATTCTATTTTTTATACTGAGGGAACTGGCATTTGCAATCTTTTAAAAACACAGCTCCCATATGTTCCTTTTATATTTTATATCAGGCTCACATCCAAACAGAATATCCAAGGAAGAATTCAATTTTGACAAATATATACCCTCATAAAGCTTGTGAGAATGAAATGAAATAATGTGTGGCTCATAACAAGTGCTCAGCAACTGGTGAAAGGTAATACAAATACTGTAATAGGTAATTATACAATACTATTAGAATACACATAACAGAGGTAATACAAATAGCAGTGTAGTAAGAAAGCTTTACTTTTCTATAACAGATGCATTAATCACACTAAGATGCTTATGAAGATCTCAGATACATTTTATTTTTGTTTTCCTGATCTAGTTTCTTTATTAGGTGGAAAACTAACTGAAATAAGGCAAAAGGGAAGACCACAGATAATGCAGGAGTACAATCAACTCAGGATGGGCTGGATAGGCAGGGATCTCTCAATCCCTGGTACAGATGTCATGTGTGCTAGAGACCTGTTGCTAGTTGGGCCGTCCATTGAGGATAGATCTGATCATCTATGTCTCCAAAGTAATAAAAATGATAGAAATTAAAACATCCTCAAAAAATACCATTTTAATTCAGGAGTGCTACAGTACTTAATACTACTCACAGAAGGGCTCTAATATGAAAATCCCTATCTAAGGTCAGACTTAGATGTATTACTCGACTATAAACTCCTTGAAGACAAAGAATCTTCTAGACTGTACTCATCATTGATGGATCCAAAGTTTCTAGAATAGTGAGTGGCACGAAATAGGTTCTTCAAGTATTTGTTGACCATATCCTAAAAAATACACAAGAGTGAATTGAAATGGGAGAGGGTATTTCTAAAAAAAGGGGTAAATTAAAAATTAATTGGAAATATTGTGTAGATAACAAAACACACTAAAAGGCAACATAAATGCTTCTTTGTAGATGTTCACAGCAGTCTTAGGTTTCCCTATAAGTTTAGGCCATATCACCACTTACACAGACGTATGTGCTAACTACCTGTAATCTGCTCCCAGGGAGGCTGCGATCCCATGTAGTTCACTCTGCTTCTTACTGAGTTTTTTACTCACACACACCACCACCTTGTGAAGTGGCTTTGGAGCTTCTTCCTGTTCATGCAAATAAAATACATAGCAACAATTATTTGTTTGAAACATTTTACCCAAAACTTCTTTTTAATAAGAGAGCTAACTCTACCTTCTCTGTTTGGGAATCCTTCAGTTGAGGGCTAGCAGACAGAGCGACAGCATCAACACCATTTCGAGAGCTATTTGCCAAAGCAAGGTTCAAGTTTCTGATAATGACTTCTGAGAGTGGTGTACTCAGTTTCCTTTCCTGTTGGCTGGGGCCTCCTGGAGTTTCCAAGGCTGCAAGTGCGTCCTATATAGAGAGGGGGAGACGTAGAGTGGGATCAAGCAAGCAAGAGATAAAGGAGATAGAAGGGAAGAGGGGAGAGAAGGGAAGAGAGAGGTAAACAGAATAGGGAAAGAAAAAGGAGAGGTAAAGAGAAGGGATAATCCTCAAAATTATCTGGATTACAGCTTTAACCTCCTCTGGTTTTCCTCCAAACAGTAAAGAGAATGAAATGTTACTTGTATCTATGAGCAATGAAGAAAAAAAAATTACATACTGCCCAGCAAATTGGTTCAAAGAGACTAACAAGCTTACATTTTTGGCAGTCCTCACTACATTTGCCTCAGTCTTAGAGATGAAGCTGCAATAAAATAAAGGACACCAAACAAACAAAACAAAAAACAGAATTAACAAGTGAGCAAGGATGTGTGTAAGCAAGACATGAACTATAAGGAAGGCTAAAAAGTCAGACTGAGGTGAGAACTGTGAAAATCATTCAAAAGTACAAAATATATTCCTGTTCCCAAGCTACCCACAGTTCCCTCACAAGAGGCCACTGATGTCCAGGGGCCTGCTCATTGTCCTTCCCATCTGCACAGGTTCCCAAGGATACATCAGATTGTAGTTAACTAATGTTTAATCGATGAATGCTCAGATTAATGAATTGTGTGCCAGTAAGCATAATGATGCAATGAATATTAACCTTTTATACATACCATTTTGCACATGCAAGAGTAAAGGGAAACACTTAAGGAAATTGTATGTACCAACACTGACATTCTCTTAAGCAAAGCATTAGACTGTTTCCCAACATACTTAACAGCACAGTGGGTAATTAGATTTTTCTTTTGCCAATCAGATAGGTTAAAATATTTATCTGTATGCTTTAAATTTCCACCCTTTTATATTGAATGAGACTTAATATCTTTATGCATGAATAATCTTTAATTTTTTGTGACAACCCTTACTGTCATGTCATTAAAACCCTTACTGCAAGGACCACCAGAGGCCTCCACAATGCTAAACCCAGTTGTCAATCTTCTGTTCTCTGTTCTTGATCTTCTAGCAGCATCTGACACAGTTAAACATTCCTTCCTCAAATACTTTCTGGCCTCTAAGACAATTTCTAGGCTTTTTCTTCCTTCACTGGTGGCTCCTTCTCAGTCTCCTTTGCTGGTTCCTCCCCTAAATGGGAGCCCCTGGGGTGTTCCGTGGGCCTCTGTACTTCCCCTGTTGTCCTGGCATCTATTCTTATATGGCTTTAAATATTAACTACAAACGCGAATCTCCACATTTCTTTCTTTAGTCCATACCATTTCAGGCTTTTTATGTAACTGCCTATTTGACAACACTACTTGGGTATCTAACAGGCTTCTCAAACTTTGTGTCCAAAACATCAACTCTTCATCTTTAGGCCCCAATCCTAACCAATTTATTCAACTCAGTTGATTGGCAGCTCTAATCTTCTAATTTCTCAGACCAAAAATTTGGAGAAGAATCCAAATCCTGAACATTGAAAAAGAAAGGGGATTAAGGGAGCTAAAAGAAATTTTAATACAAAGGTACACTGCATGCGTGTGCACATGCACACACACACACACACACACACGAAGAAATATACATATACAACAAATCACAAAGAAATTAAAACATGACAAATGAAAACAAATATAAATTATATTAAATGTGAATATGCTTAACTTCCTTAATTGAAAGAAAAAGATTTTCAAAATGGCTGTAAAGCAATGCTAAACTCTCTGCTATCTATAGAAGAGCTGTAAAGCAATGCTAAACTCTCTGCTATCTATAGAAGACACACTTAAAACACAGCAATCCAAAATGGCTAAGAAATGAAGGAATGCACAAATTTATGAGGCAAATTAAAACAATGAGTAGAGATTGAAATTCTGATACAAAAGTAGACTTCAAGCCAAAAAGCATTAAATGGACACATTTCAACTTACCTAACAGTTATGAATACCTATGCACTAATTAACAGTTAAAACAAAACCGTATGAGATGCGAGGAGAAATAAAAACACTAATATTAAGTAACTTGAAAACAGCCCTTAGTCTGAGATGCGTCAAATGAACCAAACTAGGGAAGGATATAAAAGATGTAGCAATATGGTCAATAAGTTGTACCTTCTATATCTATGTAGCAAAGACTACACCCTTATAGAGAATATATGTTTTTCTCAAGAAATGTTCTCAAAACCTGATAGGGTACAAAGAAAGGATCAGTTAAGTTCTGTGAAGTAGAAACATTACAAACAAAAACTGATTACAATGTAATAAAACTAGAAATTAAAATGAAACAAAGTCCTTTCATCTCAAAATTAATAAAAACTACATATTTGAGTAAAGGGTACATATGCATTACTTATGCTGCTTTTATTTAGCAACTTTTTATAAGGTAGAAACTATTTTCAAGTAGAAAGTTAAAAAAAACCCCAAATTTATAATACACTTTTGGCAAGGATGGGAAACACTGGGTGCTTAATAAATTAGCAGTGGAAGTATGAAGTGGTATAATCACTAGGACGGTTAGTCTCTATTAAAGTTGAAACATGAACCAGCATTAAAAAAAAAATTAAACTATCATTAAAATACAATCTTATGTAGGTTTCAAATGTGTATCAGTGGTTCAACAGTTCCCATGATCAACTTATATTGTGACTGCAGATTATTGGGCCTTTTATCCTCCTCCTCCCCCACACTCCACCCCACCCCCATAACTGCCACAACTCCCTCTTGGTAACCACTAGTCACTTCTCAGTGTCTTTGAGTCTACTGCTGTTTTGTTCCTTCTGTTTTGCTTTGTTTTTATATTCCACAAATAAGTGAAATCATATGGTATTTGTCTTTCTCCGCCTGGCTTATTTCACTGACCATGATACCCTCTAGATCCATCCATGATGTTGTAAATGGCAGGACTTCTTTTCTTTTTATGGCTGAATAATATTCCATTGTGTATATGTACCACTTCTTTATCCACTCATCTATTGATGGACAATTAGGTTGCTTCCATATCTTGGCTATTGCAAACAGTGCGGCAGTAAAAATAGGGGTGCATGTACCTTTTCGAATCGGGGATTTTATTTTCTTTGGGTAAATTCCTAGGAGTGGAATTACTGGGTCAAATGGTATTTCTATTCTAGTGTTTTGAGGAACCTCCATACTGCTTCCCACAGTGGCTGAACCAATTTGCACTCCCACCAACAGTGTAGGAGAGTCCCTATTTCTATATATCCTCACCAGCTTTTGCTGTTTCTTGTCTTTTGGAGAGTGGTCATTTTAACAGGTGTGAGATGATTATCTCACTAAGGTTTTAATTTGCATTTCCCTGATAGTGATGTGGAGCATCTTTTCATATGCCTGTTGGCCATTTGTATTGCTTCTTTGGAAAAGGGCCTCCAACTACTTTTTAATTGGGTTATTTGTTTTTTGGGTGTTGAGGTGTATGAGTTCTTTACATCTTTTGGATGCTAACCCTTTATTGGATAAATCATTTATGAATATACTCTCCCATACCATAGGATGCCTTTTTGTTCTGCTAATGGGTGTTCTTTGCTGTAGAGAAGCTTTTTTAGTTTCACCTACTCCTCCCACCTGTTCATCTTTTTGCTTTTGTTGCCTGAGGAGATGTGTCCAGGAAAAAACTGCTCATGCTTATCAAGAGGTTTTTGCCTACATTTTCTTCTGAGAGTTTTATGGTTTGCCTTTGATCCATTTTGAGTTTGTGTATGGAGTTAGACAATAATTCAGTTTCATTCTCTTACATGTAGCTGTCAAGGTTTCCCAACACCAGTTAATCAAGAGGCTGTCTTTTCCCCACTGTATATTCATGGCTCTTTTATCATGTTAATTGACCATACATATGTGGGTTTATATCTGGGTTCTCTATTCTGTTCCATTGATCTATGGGTCTGTTCTTGTGCTAGTACCAAGCTGTTTTGATTACTGTGGCTTTGTAGAAGAGCTTGTAGTCAGGGAGTATAATCCTTTCAGCTTTGTTCTTTCTCAGGCTTGCTTTGGCTATTCAGGGTCTTTTGTGGTTCCATGTGAATTTTAGAACTATTTGTTCTAGTTTATTGAAGAATGCTCTTGGTATTTTGATAGGGATTGCATTGAATCTATAAACTGCTTTGGGAAGATGGCCATTTTGACAATATTAATTCTTCCTATCCATGAAGACAGGATAGATTTCCATTTATTGGTGTCTTCTTTAATTTCTCTCATGGGTGTCTTGTAGTTTTCAGAGTATAGGTCTTTCGCTTCCTTGGTTAGGTTTATTCCTAGGTATTTTATTCTTTTCGATGCAATTGTAAATGGAGTTGTTTTCCTTATTTCTCTTTCTTCTAGTTTGTTGTTAGCAAATAGGAATGCAGCAGATTTCTGTGTATTAATTTTGTATCCTGCAAATTTGCTGAATTCAGTTATTAGTTCCAGTAGTTTTTTGGGGAAGTCTTTAACTTGGTCATGATGGATGATCTAACTGATGTATTTTTGGATTCGGTTTGCTAATATTTTGTTGAGGATTTTTGCATCTTTGTTGATCAGGGATATTGGTCTGTAATTTTCTTTTATTGTGTTGTTTTTGTCTAGTTTTGGTATTAGAGTGATGCTAGTCTCACAGAACGACTTTGAAGTATTCCCTCCTCTTCTACTTTTTGAAATACTTTAAGAAGGATGGGTATTAGTTCTTCTTTAAATGTTTCATAGAATTCAGCTGTGAGGCCATCTTGACCTGGACTTTTGTTTTCTGGTAGTTTTTTTATTACCATGACCCAGCATTTCACTTCTAGGTATATACCAAAAAGAAATGTATGCACACATATTCTAGGAGACATGCACAACAATGTTGGTAATTCCATTATCTGTAAGAGCAAAAAAACTAGTAACCACTTAAATGCTCATCAACAATAGACTGGATATGTAAAGTGGTATATCCATATACTGGAATTATTAGGCTAATAAAATCAATGAACTAGAGCTAGAGGTTACACAATGATGACAAATCTTTCAAATGAAGGCAGAATAAAAAAAGACTCAAAAGAATACGTATTATGATTTCAATTTCACCTGTTTAAAAGTCAAAAATAAGTGTAACAAAGCTACAGTGTTACAAGTCAGGAGTGTTATCATTGGGGAGAAAGGAGAAAGCAGTGATTGGGAAAGGACATGAGAAAGGCTCTATGGCACTGGCAACCATTTCTTTCTGAACACACACAGTGGCTTCCTGACTTAATACTGGTATTTCATTTAGCAGCACATTTATTGAACTTTTTTCATGTATGTTAACTAAAAATCAACTTTAATTTTTTTTGTAAGGGCTAATGTATGTTCAGTTTTGTGATTATTCCATGGGCTCTTCTCTGTTTTCAGAGTAAAAACACTGAATATATACCACATTATATCAATTCTTCAGCCACTGATTACAAGATGAAGTATTAATCTATGAATCACCCAAAAAAGAAAAAAGAAAGAAAAAACACTACTAAATGAACTATGACTAAACAATGAAACCTTTAAATGTGTACCTTTACTGATACTATTTCAGAACCATCAGTTTTCCACTGCGAGGTATCTAAAGAAGAATGGTCTCAATGGAGATATTTCTACTATTTTCTTGCCTTTTATTTCATGTACTAATCAAAGAGTATGTGAGCAAGAGACCTTAGAGATTATCTGGATATACTCCATGATTTCACAGATGCAGATAATGAAGCCCAAAGAGGCTGACTTGTCTTAAAGGGCAGCAAGAGGTGAAGCAGAGGCCTGATGCTGCATTTCAGTTTCCAAACCAGTGGTTTGCCTCCATTTCTTTAGGCATAAGGAGCAGTATTAATCACAGTACAAAATGTTACTTCCAAAGACATCTGATCAAAGATTTAGCTTAGAGAAAACTGCCCCAGGTATCAATTGATATTTATTTTCTGAAGATGAACAATCTGTAAACTTTATAAATCTGTTCAAGAACATACTAGTAAGAACTATTAAAATGCTACTTAATTCCCTATCAGCAAAACTTAAATAGATGAATGGCACAATAATTTTGCAAAGGTTTAAAGATTAAAAAAAAAAAGACAATGGTTTGAACAGTAACTTGAAAGGCAAAAACTACTAAAGGTATAGTGAAGAAAATCATCGTTGGAGAGTAAAAGGAAACCATTTGGGAAGGTTAAAATAGCTCTTGATTTGAGAATGAATTTTTTTCAGTAAGGAAGCTATACTCCAGCACTCAGATGAAACAAATATGCAGACTTAACTCATCTTTTTAAGAGAATGACTGAAAAGGTAAAAATAGACATTTTCAGAAAGCAAGCACTGGATGTACTCCTAGAATAAAAACCTGAGTAGCAATGTGTATTATTTTACAATTTATATAATTATTTCATCACATATAAATATAACATATACAATTATTTCATTTCATTTGATTCTTATAATAAACCTGTGAGTTTTTAGAGCAAGGGATATTATCCTCTTTGTATAAAAGAAAAAAAACTGATGCTCAGATTTATTCAATGATGTGTCTACCATTCATGACAGATCGAGGACTTGAACCTGGATGTCCTCATTTCACACCATATTTGTCTTTAGCTGTTACTTCAACCTGGGATATATATTGGGACTCAATAATATGCCCACTTGCCAACATCTCTGGAAATTTTACTATTACAAACTTTAGAGGTGATGCAGAATTTGGTGCATTAACTTTACAATTTATTAAACTATTACATCTAGGACCATTTTATATAGTCCTTACCTTCACATCAAAGGAAGGCTTGAAGAGTTTGTCCTTAGACAGAAATTTTGATGGTGTATCCAGGTGTAATGAGGGTTCCTTCTGAAGTGGCTGTCCTACTGCTGGGGAGACTGGAACCTGGCCGGTGTGTTGTGAGATCACAGCATGGAATGCTTTACTCTGAAAGCGGTTCATATCTAAAGGTGTAATGGCTGTTTTTCTGAGAGTTTCCAGGTATGTGACAGGATGCTCTGAAGAATCTGGATTTGGATTCACTCCATTTGTTATTTCAGTCTCCAAACTTTGTTCTAGAGATTAAAAGTGGAAAAAAAATGCTTGTGAGCCACTAATGTCATCTTTTGTCTCTAAGGAGGCAAAAATAAGTGATATTTTTGTATCTGATTATTAGTTTCTATGTGAATTCTCAAGTACACTTTGAACCAGTTATACACCTACCCACCAAGTAAAAGGGATGACATATTAAAATGTTAGACAATCACATCAACTGAAACAAATAATGAAATTAGATTTCCTGTTTCAACTTGTTCTAACTTGAAATAGTCTCAATAAACCTCACAATTTGCCAAAAATTACATAAATGCCGTCTTAGTCAATGGTAGAGTAAAAAGAAAATCCCAATTACATGTATTCAGACTTAACAACCACAGTCAAGTTTTAGGAAAGTTCTTAATGGAAACTGAACATGATCTAAATATCACTTTGACTCAGTTGTAAAATTTTCAGTCTGTCTGGGCAAATAAGTAATGGCTCTGAGAGCTGTTTCCAAACCGCTGACTTGTCCCTAAAATTTGTCCAAGGACATCACCATCTCAGAAGAGGGGCTACTAGGTCATCCCACCTTTTTTCAACATTTAACAAAAACACTTATTAGATAGCTACTGCATGCCAGGCCCAGTGCTAGACAATGAAAAAATATATATATATATATGAAAAGACATGTATATTCCTTGCCTTTCAAGAATTTATAACTGATCAAGGAGACATCAAAGTAAACTAGAGTTGTTAGCACTGGGATAAAAGCCAAAAAAGGGGTAATAACAGGGTTTTATGGCAAGACAGAAGCCATATTTGGTAAGCCAAAGAAGCCTTCCCAGGGAAAGTGACATTCAAGCTAAGAACTGAAAGACAAGGAGTAACAGGCAAGCAAGAGGTGGGCTAGTGAAAACATCAAAAGTCCAAAGATTTGAGGAAGAGAGAACAAATTAAGTATGTCAGCGTTAGCCATAGAAGGAACAGGAAATGGCATCCAAGCTCACATCTTTAGATTTCAAACACTGAGATCCTAGAATGCTCCTACTTTGTATCCTCTAACTTTTAGACACAGTCTACAGTTGACAGTACAGATACAAACCGAACATATGTGCTATGAACATACATTTATTTTGCCATCAGTGGCTCACTGTACCCAACATGAAAAGTACAAACTAATGACCTCCCCTAAAAACAAGTTTTGGTACATTCATATCCTAGAAACCATCAAATTGTACAAATATACTTAAAAGAACAAAATATACTTAAAAGTATTAACCTTCTTTAGGTGAATTTTCAATGAGAAAATGGCTTTCATTTGCTTTCTTTCCCATTCTAGCAGTTTCCAACAGCCAAGCTATAGCAACTGCCGGTAAATTCCATTTCTTGGCTGCTTCATATTTAGAACCACTTGGTTCTTTCAATATAAGATGTGTACTGGCAAACAGGTTTTTTTTTGCATTGGACTTGCGAACAAAGAATTCTTGAACACTGTAAGTTATATTTAAAGAAAAGCAAATGGTCATATGCACAATCAGTTGGTTAACTGTTAATCAACTAACAATGAAGTTTCTAATAGCATGGTTAGAGTTCTAAGTATAAGATAGTATTTGCTGATATAGTTGGTTTTATTTCTTAAAGTAAGCTAATCCCCTCACAAATGCTTACTTTAGGATAAAAATACATGGCTACTATTAAACTATTAATTAAAAAAATAAGCAAATTAAAATAGACTTTCAAGAAATAACCTGAGAAATTATTTCCTTAATTAGTCATCACCTACCCACCTTGTCCCTTACCTTCTACAAGGAGGCAACCAGGAAAGCCAAAAAAGCGTGAATAACACATTCTACCTTTGGTAGCCCACTACAATTTCTCAAAGCATTTTCACATAAAATCTCATTTGATCCTCTTAATATTTGTGAAATAACCAGTATTAGACAAAATATTGTAAATATACAACTTGACAAAAGATAAAGAGAAATTAAATTAGCTCAAGATCACAGAATATTAAACAGAGAGAATGTGGGGGCAGAAAGAGAAATCCACCACATGATATAAACAGAATTTGGTCTCTCTCTTTTTTTTTTATGACTTCTGGGTTTTATGTTCTAGTTCCCCACTTGTAAGATTTTTTAAACTCCCACATCGTCCCCTGTACTTTCATGGTTTCATTTTCCCTATTTAATCCACGGATCCATTTGGCACTTATGGTATAAATGTAGCGCTGATTTTATTCAATCCTATTTATTGAGTTAAACCATCTCCTCAATAACTTGAAGTACCACTTTTATCACATAATAATTTCTTGTTATATTTGGGTTTATTTATAGACTTTCTTTGTGTTCATTTTCTGCAACCTATAGGCACACTATTATTTAGTGAGGTTTTACATATATCTAAATATTCTTCTCAGAATTTACATGACCTTCTTGCTTGCTAGTTTTTTCTTATGAATTTAAGAATAAGTTTGCTTATTACTTCAAAAAATTGTTGGGATTTTTACTGGGATATTAAATTTATACCTTAGTGTAGAGGATAACAATGTTATATAATGTTTAGTCTTCTATCTTCCCTACTGTTTGAGTCTTGTTTTCCTTAACAGCATTTTGCAAATTTCTGTGGCTTTTCCAAGTTTCATGCTAAACTTGTTGCTAGGAATTTTACCTCTCATTATGGACTTAGTAAAAAGGCCTTAGTTTTCACTAGCTCTTCTAACTGGTTGTCTATATGAAAGTCAATGATTTCTGCATATTCTCTACATAGCCATTTTTTCTCTGAGTATTGCTTTAGTTGTGCCCCATGGAGTCTGCTGTCATATTTTTGTCATTGTTATTTTCTATAATTTGTTATTTTTCAAAAACTTTTTGTTTAGTATAATTCAAATACAGAACACAGCAAAAAAGGAAATACAATTTAATGAATTATTATAAGGTAAAAATTCTTATATCCATCACCTACATCAGAAGATAGAATCTTGCCAGCCACTCCAGAATCCCTTCAACATGCTCCTTCTCAATTACAGGCTCCCTTTCTCTCCCCCTTCTTAACAATAGCCATTATTTGGGTATTTATGGTAATCACTTCCTTACCTTTCTTTAGTTTTATACACAGTGTATCCTTGACACTACATTTAGTTTTTTATTCTTTTAACTTAAAGGTTCCTTCTTCTTTCCTCATTTACCTAACATGTATTTGTTGAAGACACTGGAACATTTATAAAGTGACCTCCGTCTGTATCAATGTAGTGTAGTGTAACACATTATTCTCCTATCTGTATTGCTTAAAAATCAGTGGTTGAATCTAGAGGCTTCGTCAGATTGAGGTTTCACTATTTTGGTAAGACTATTTCAAGGTGGTGGTGTGTTCTTCATCAGGAGGCATATAATCAATCTTACCTTCAGTGTGAAGAGAACTCTATTTACAATGCTGTTCTTGTTTAATGCCTTATTTGAATCCAAACTTGTCTGCCAGTAAAACTGCAACCCCTCCTTTTTGTTTGCATTTACTTCACATATCTTTGCACAACTTTTAATTTTTTTAAATGTTCTGTATCACTATTTTAGAGGAATCTCTTGTCTGAAAGAGTTTTAGCAGTGCTTTATGATCTAATCTAAAAGAACTTTTCTTGTAATGTAAACTTTTACTTCATTTACATTTATTGCTACAATAGTTTTCTACTTCCTTTTTAAGCAGCCACCATCTAATGTTAACTTAGGGATTGGGCTAATTTGGATTCTGGAAGTAACTTATAAATACATTTTCTTTCTCTTACAGTATTCATTAGTTCTGTTTAACATTTGCATTTCTGACTGAAAACTGGAGAAACAATGAATGTACACTGTAAAAGACTAAATTCAACCATATGGTACATGGAAGGGAATAATGTTTATATAAGCAATATTTAAAAATGGCCTATGTATCAGCTTTAAATATTCTCTTTCCTGGTAAGTAAGCATTAATCCTGTAGCTTTAACACTTGCCAGGCATCCATCCATCTAGTAGCTCTCTCTCCTCTCCCACACTGAGCCATCACATATACACTACACACTACCCATAAACAGTACAAAGACACCAGCCTAATTCTAATTTGAATGTCTCCAATAAGTCAAAACAAATAAAAGGTAAGTCAAAACTGCAGGTGCACTCAAAATTCTACATACCTTCCTCCAAGGCGATTTGCTAAGAATGTCAATGAATCTTTTTCTGCTCCTGCACACTGGCTGAATGAAATAACACAATCCTCTAAAGGAGTCCTTCCTGTCATTACTGGGACTGGTGTGAAGAGAGGACTTGACCTTGGATCAATTAAAGTCTGATAGTCTACACAAGTTACCTTTTACAAACGAGAGAAACAATAACATCAATCTGTAATAAGCAACCAATGCTTAATACTGGCTCAGTGACGGTGGCAGTAATTTTAATTCATAATAAAAACAATTTTACTTTAATAGAAACTTATATATGCTCATTTTCAGTAAATTTCAATTACAGTATTTTAAGAAATATATTTATCAATTCATTACATAAGATATTTAAATCAGATTTACCACTAAAGTTACTGAATACTGCTATAAATTTAATTTCTTCAAAAGTATGTATAATTTTTTCCTTTTGGAAAGTTAAAAAAATAAAAATCAATGGTGAAATAGCCAGTGATAAGCCAACGAGATGGAATGATACAAAAGTGCAAGGGAA